GTTCAAGCCCCCATCTTACTTTATGCTTGCATTGAGAATGAGAGCAAATGACTTAACTTCTTGGAGCCTCAATTTGCTTTCCCATAAAGTGAGCACATGAGTGGACATCCAGGTATTTACTATCACCTCCATGATTCCACATCGTAAGGATCAGTTCACTTGTCTGGCCTCCCTTCTGCCATGCTGGGGTCAGGTGCTCCTCAACCTGCCTCTGCTTCCTGAGGCCTGGCAGACAGAGGGAACTTTCCATGTTCATCTTACTGTCTCCAAGTGAAAAGTGATATGTGTCATGCAGCACAGAGCCACTCCAAGTGACCAAAGGCTACTACTGTCCAAATCCCAGAGACTCTGACCAAGCAAGCTGTGGTCCAGGGTGGGAGTGTGGAGCTGAGTAGTGCCCCCTCTTTGGTGAGCAGTCACTGCAAGGTCCTCTTTGGTGTCTCATTCTACTCATGCCTCTCTGAGTGCATGGCCCAGCATAGGGAGGTGACCAGCATGCCAGTCCTTTGCCATGTCTGTTCTTTGGGAAGACACCTCTTTTCTCCTGAGGGCTCCAGCCTGTCTGGCATCACAGTCAGTTACCTGGGGAGATGTAGGCAGGTGGCGGGAGGTTGACTGTTATGATAATCAAATTAGAAAAGGACAGTGCCTGTAGCAAGTGTTTAGTAAATATCTGTCATTATTATCATCATGGTATTTAGGATAGTGAGTTCTTTGGGGCTGGGTATTGTCCACTGCTTCTCCACTCACAGTACACTGCCTGCACATGGTAAATTCTGAGTTCACTAGCAAATAAATGAATTCATATGTTTCTTAGCAAATGAATGAATGAATTCAGGCCTGACTTTACCCAGGTGCTGACTGCCTGACCACTCTAACCTTGCCCTATAATTAGGAGTTTGGGCCTGACTCAGTGTGTGGGTGAGGCAGTCTGTTTCAGCCCACATGTGTCCCTGGCCATCAAACTCCATGGAACAGAAAGATGGGGGCAGAAAATCAATACCTACAAGCAGGAAAAAGAGAAGGTTACTTGCATTCTCATATTCTAATATCTTGAATCCTTAATCAAACCTATAATCTAAAATTCAAAAGAGGGCTCAGGGAACACAAAGACTGCTTCATGCTAAATAGAAGCCTGGGCCCTGGTTGAAATGCATTGTAGTTTTGTTCTATGAAGTCAAGAAAAGAGAATGAGATAGAGGAAACAGCAACAACAATATCTAGCTACCATCAGTTGAGTATATCCAGTGTGCTATGTACTGTGCACACCATTGAATCTTTATGACCTTAGCAGTGGGCGTGATTCTCATATTCGGGGGAAATTGAGGCTCCAAGAGGTGAAGTGACATGCCTTTGGTCATAAAGTGGGTAAATGGTGGAGCCAGACAAAGCCAGCTCAACTGATTTGCAAAATCTCTCTCTTCCCCTCCGTCCCAAGCTGTCTCTGGTCCCATTGGTTACTCCCTTCCCTCTGCTCACACATTGTCTTTGTCCATGAAGTGTTACTATAACAGAATACCTGAGACTGGGTAATTTATAAGGAACAGAGATTTATTTCTTACAGTTCTGGAGAATGGAATGTCTAAGATTGAGGGGCTGTATCTAGCAAGGACCTTCATGCTGTGTCATTCAATGGTGGAAGGTGGAAGGGCAAGAGAGAGTGAGAGAACAAGAGATTAAACTTGCAGCCTCGAGCCAGACCTTTTATAATTGGCATTAATTCATTAATGAGAGTGGAGCCCTCATTAAACACTTCCCATTAGGCCCCACCTCCCAACACTGTTGCATTGGGGATCAAGTTTCTGACACATCAACTTTGGGGGACACATTCAACCTGTAGCACCCATCTGTTAGAAATCTTGGGCCAGGCGGGGTGGCTCATACCTGTAATCCCAGCACTTTGGGAGGCTGAGGCAGAGGGATCACCTGAGGTCGGGAATTTGAGATCAGCCTGGCCAACATGGCAAAACCCCATCTCTACTAAAAATAACAAAAATTAATCAGACGTGGTGGTGTGTGCCTGTTGTCCCAGCTACTTGGGGGGCTGAATCAGAAGAATCACTTGAACCTGGAAGGTAGAGGTTGTAGCAAGCCAAGATTGTGCCACTGCATTCCAGCCTGAGTGACAGAGCGAGCCTCTGTCTAAAAAAAGTAAAAATAAAAAAATCTTGGTTCATATCCTTTCAAAGAGCAATTCCAGCAAGTATTTTTGGCCACAGCCCTTCTGCTCTTGTACCTAATTGGTACAATTGGTTGGTTTTTGGAAAATGGAATGACCCCTGAGAAGCCAAGGTGGACTCTCAGTAAGAACTTGAGCCTGGTAAGTTAGGAGACCTTTTTGAAATTGGATTGCAACCAGATGAGCCCATGTGACCCACAGGAGAGGACTTGGAGGAGGGCTAGTGGTAGTGTCGGTGACTTCAGGACCCCTCACACATGCTGGGCCTTTGCACATGCTGTTCCCACTGCCTGGAATCCCCTCCCCCTCTCACCTCATCATTCTGAGGTCACAGCCTCACCTTCTCACTCCGGCCTCTCCTTGTTGCCCCCACACCCATTCTCCTCCCCTGCCTAGTTTCCTTCCATACATATTACTTGATACTTTCTAGAGAATTATATATTTTCCTTTATTTCTTTGATCATTGCGTATATGGACCATAGTTCACTCACTTGGCTTTTACTGATGGCCATTTACGTTTTTGGTCTTTGGCCAGAAGGAGCATCCTTATGCATACATCTTTGTCCACTGTCCAGTGACTTCCTTAGGATAAAAAAGTTCCTGGTGATGGAACTGCTGAACCAAAGATACGCAGTATCTTTCTGATGTGGTACCTTATGACTTAATCTCTACTGTTCAATCCAGAGGAGGCCTGTTGAAGTGAGTTTTTGTATGGACTTTGACTAACCATGCTGTGACTTGCTCCCTTGTTGGGAAGAAGTGTGGCCTGAGCCTAGTGCCATGGTGATCAATTGGAGCAATAGGCACAAATCTTCACTCTTCCCTGCAACCACGTTCTTTACCACGTGATTTTGCAGAGCCCTTCAACACTAACTGTGGACCACCCACATGACATGCTTTGGGCAACAAGATGTCAGCTTATGGGATACATAAGCTTCGAATATGCTTTTTTGGATGGGCTTTCTTTCTCCTGCCCCTTGCCATCACGGCAAGACGTACACGCGCAGGCTAGCCTGGAGGATGAGAGATATATGGAGCAAACTGAGATGCCAGAATCATTCCAACTGAGGCCGGTCTCAATCAGCCAACAGCCATCCAAGCCCTGGACATGTGAGTGATCCCCCGTAAGAGCAGCAGAACCACCTGGCTGAGCACCCTAAATGCACAAGCAATACAAACTTATTGCTGTCTGCTGCTGAGGTTTTGTGTTTCTTTTTTTTTCAAATGCAGCATCAGTCAATTAGCGTAAGTCAATAGATAACTAACGCACAAGGCATGACCGTGAAACCAATTTTCTCACTGCTCTGCCAATAGTAGGGGCTTTTGCAGTCATTGTCTGCAGGCCTGGACATATTCTAAAATAACTCCATTGGTACGTACATTTACAAAAATTTTGATTCTGCTCATCAGCTGGGGGACTTGCTACTGCTTCTTGGAAGAGGCAGAGCCCAAAGTAAGATTTTGAAGGAGAGAGGAGGTCAGAGGACCTTGAAGGTTATGCAAAATGATGCATGACATCAGGCCCATGACCACTAAGTTGTGTTCTAAGCTCCTTGCCATCCAGGCTTACCCTGCATGGTTAGAGATTTCTGATGAGAGAAAGCAAGGGAAGTCATCTACAAAGCAAGTGTTAACCTTGAAATAAACTTGCATGGGAATTTACTGTGTTAGTTACTGGCATGAAGGACACAAAATAACAAAGGGCAAATTTATCAACCACAGCTTTGCAAAAAGCCATGCAGTGGTGTGGTTAAGAGACCTGGTTAGGGTATCAGAATGTCTTGACATGAATCCCAGGTCTGCTACTAATTTTTTGTGGCTAAGGACTGATGCTATAACCTCTCTGGATCTCCTTTCCTTGAATGCACAGCAGGGAAAAAGGCACCTGCCTTGTGAGTGCTCTGTTACAGATGTAGATTCCTTCCTTGGGATGTTTTGCTCTGCTCTTCTTGGCTTGTTGTGCTTCCCGGGATCTCCCTGGAAAATATATTCTGTGCTGGGTGTCCCCTTTTTATAAATGCTCCCATGGGGAAAGTTCAGATTCATCCACTCCAGTTAAATGGGTGAGACTCAGAGGAATCAGGTGGGGAAGCTGGCTTTGGGGAAGCCTCACACTCTTCATTATCCAACAACAACAACAATAATAGCTACCACGATTTGAGCACTTACTTGGATTATCATAGCAGCCCTGAGGGAGAACCTGTCACGATTACTCCTATGTTACAGGTGAGAATTTGAACCTTGGAGAGTTGAGTCATCTGCTCAAAGTCACACAGCCAGTAGTGCAACTCAGGTCTGTCTGAGCCTGAGAGGTTTTATCCAAGACATATACCAATATAGCATAGATCTAGTTAGAAATGTAGCTGCCCTTGGAATAAGAACAAACATACCTCCCAAGCAAATCTCACCCAGAGCTCAAAATATAAGATAAGAGATTTGAGCACATCTTAGTGCTCTTTCTTCTAGGCTCATTTCTTTCCCCTCTAGAAGCCTTTGGCCTTGATGTTGCTTCCATGGGCAGTTAGAATAGGCTAAGCTATTCTGCCGTAACAAAATAATTCCTGAATTTTAGTGACTTCAGACAATTTTTATTTCTCACTTATGCTACTTGCTCCCCATGAGGCAGCTGAGGTGTTGCAAAGCACTGGCCTCACTCAGAGGTAGCACTAGCTCTGTAATTTGCAGACTCAGTGCACAATGCAAAGGCAGGACTCCTTGTTCAAATATTGCTAAGAATTTCAAGATGGTGACAACACAGCAATAAACCAAGTGCAGGGTCCCTTTAACTGTGGGACCCTGTATGACTGCACGGGTTGCTCACCTGTGAAGCTGGCTCTGCTGAGGGGTCCAGACTGATAGAGGCGTCATGATTTGGGGCTTTGCTGTCATCAGAGCAGAGGGCTTGGGAGCCCAGCAAATCACTCACTGGCTCTTAAAATTCTCCAGGAGGGGATACTCATCACTTCCTCTTGCTTATGTTCATACTCTCCACTTCTGTTCCAAATGGAGGGAGGAGAAATGGGATATTTGTACACAGACCTCAATGGCCACCCACCTCCTGCCCCTACCATGGTTTTCTCCAGTATGTGCCCCCTATACCTCCTCTTGCTATTCCTATTCTCCAACCAGAGGCCATCTTCCCAGAATAATGAGGTGACAGATCACAACAAAGAGGCACAGCCATTCTTTCCCACCCCCAGTGCATCTACCTCCCACTGAGACCTCCCTTCCTTGTCACTGTTCTCACCCTTGACCTAGCCATCTTCATTATGAATCTGCATGGTCATCTACCTGCAATTCAGGTTATGATGCTTGCCCCCAAATTTATTTTCTAGACAGTAACCTAAGGGCTCTCTAAAAAGCACCATTCCTCTTTTTCAAACCCTCCAATGACTTCCAGTTGTGGACTGAATGTTGTCTCCCCACCCCAAAGAATATATTAAAGTCCTAATCTCTGGAGCCTGTGACTGTGATCTTATTTGGAAATAGGGTCTTTGCAGATGTCATTAAGCTGTACATTATGATGGGGGTACTACTGGAGTTGGGTAGACCCTTAATCCAATAGGACCAGTGTCCTTAGAGAGAGGACAAGGAAACTATAATGGACACACAGGAAGAGAATGCTATGCAGTGACAGAAACGGGGACTGGAATGACATGCCTGTGAGGTAAGGAACACTGACGAGTGTTAGCAACTCTGGGAGCCAGGAGAGAGGCCTGGAAAAAATTAGCTCTTTTTCTCTTTTTTTTTTTTTTTTTTGAGATGGAGTCTCGCTCTGTCACCAGGCTGGAGTGCAGTGGTGCCATCTCGGCTCACCACAACCTCCACCTCCCAGATTCAAGCGATTCTCCTGCCTCAGCCTCCCAAGTAGCTGGGACGACAGGCGCACGCCACCAGGCCCAGCTGAAAAGATTAACTCCTAGGGCCGTCAGAGGGAGCATGGCCTTGCCGACACCTGGATTTCAGACTTCTGGCTTTCAGAACTGTGAGAAAGTGAATTCTTATTGCTGAAAGCCACGCAGTTTGTCACCATTGGTCACAGCAGCCCTAGAGCACTAATACACTGCCTGTCACCCTAAGAAGAAAATCTTAATGTCTCCCCTCACTTGAGCTATAAGTCCCTGCATGGCCTGAGTTCTACCTACCTCTCAACCTTATTGCAAACCACACTCCACTCTGCCACTGTACTTCAATGACACTGGCCTCCTTTCTGCCTTCAGACTTTTGTTCTTGCCATTCTGTCTGCCCGAGTGCCCTTTCACCACAGCAAGATTGGGTTGTTCTCATTCATCAAGTCTCCACTAAAATGATCTCTTCATGAGAGGCTATTTCTGGGGCCCTGTGTAAAGTAGCTCCTTCTGTCTCCACATTGTCCTTGAACTAACCTTTCACTATCTTTGATCAAAGATCCCTGGTGATTTTCTTCCTCACATTTTTCACTATTAGTGATGATTTTCTTGATCTATGTACGTGTTGTCTGCCTTCTCTACTGGAACATAAGCTCCATTGCCAATGTGGACAATAAACTATAAGGTGGGCCCCATGATCTCCACTTCCCAGTACTCACACACTCTTTTGTGACACTTCCCTTGAGTGTCTTGCCTCTATCCAATGCTACAAAGGGGATAGGATGTCACGTCTATGATTATACTGTATAAAACTGTAATGCCTATTTTGCTAATATGCTAATACATTCTCTCCCTTGCTAGCTTGGATGGCACCAGTGGCCATGTTGTAAGCCAGCCTATGGAGAGACCCCCAGGGTAAGGAACTGGAGACAGCCTCTAGCCAACAGCCAATGAAAAACAGAAGCCTTCATTACTCAGTGTTAATGGAACAGAATTCTGCCAACAAGCACATGAGTTTGGAAGTGGCTCCTTCCCCAGTCAACCTTGCAGATGAGACTGCAGCCCCAGACAACCCTGTGATTGCAGTCTCATGAGAGATTCTGAGCAGAGGATCTTGCACAGCCTGGATTCCTGACACACAGAAAACATGAGATAATAAATGTTTGTTTGTCTTGACTACAAAGTTTGTGGTGACTTGCTATATAACAGTAAATAGCAAATACAGTCAATGACCTACTCTGTCTTGTTTGCTCCTCTGACTCAAAGCCTGGCATGGTGTCTGTCTTATAGCAGGTGCATAGTTAACATGCATTGGTTGATTGAATGTCTGGTGCTCATCAACATGGCACTGTAGCACGTTGCCACAGTGTGTGTATGTGTGTATTGTGTGTGTGTGTGTGTGTGTATAATAGATACTATCATATACATATTAATATTCAGGGTAGATATATATGGTAGATAGTGTATTATAGATAATATAATATATGTATACACACACATGCACACATACACAGAGTAGAAAATTAGACTTTCCAATGGTGATGAAAGATAGCCAGCACTAGACCTGACATCATGGGTTAGGGATTTTTGCCACAATCTTCCTCCTTGTCTTTCACCTTTTTTTTTCTTAACACTTATAAAGAAATAGATTGAATTGTACCATTACTAGGGTCTCCTGCAGTTTTGCTTTCTATTCCAGTCTTTGGAGGAAGGTCATGAAAATGCTTCCTTTTTCATGTTATTTTTTTTTTTCTGCCCTGGTCTAAAAAAATATAAGACTCTTTGAGTTAATATAATAAAATTAAAAAGAGATTGAGAGAAATCAAAAGGGATGGGGAGAGAGAGAGAGAGAGAGAGAGAGAGAGAGAGAGAGAAACTGAGAAAACCAAGCAAGGCAACTCCTCCTGGCTGAAGTCTAGCGAGATGCTTATTTAATATTACAAGAAGGGTGAACAATTAGGACATCCTCTCCTTGTGCCTGCAGACTCCATCTCGGAGACTAATAGATATTTACTTAGTCCTGTCGGTCGTGCTGTGTTTAATATTTATCCATCACAGGAAGCTGCTGCATGTTAAATGTCAGCCTCTTGATTTCGACAGCTCGTGGCTACGCAGCTCACAGCTACGAGCAGGCAGAATTGCACAAACAGCCCCAGCGGCCCCTGGTCTCAAACCTGGCTGGCTTCCTGGCAAACCCATGCCCCGTGTCTGTGCAGTGCCCAGGACTGGCCACTTGGTGGGTCCTACAATCTCTGAGGGGTCCAATCCAAGGTCCTTGAGCTTTGGGGTGTCAGTCAATGCCAAGGACAGCAGGGCTGTGGCAGTGGGAGGGGACTTACCTTTAGCAGCTGACACGTGCACCAGGGACCCTGCCAGCTTCTGACCTCCACTCTCTCCTTACGTCTTCAGCACAGATATGCTGTACATTGTTCACTTGTCCCTTCAGATCCTTTTCGCACCCTGCTACCTTCGGCTATGCACTCCAGGAAGCTGACTTCAGTGGGCTGCATCCAGTTGTGGGGGTCTCCCTAGGCAGCTTCTGGCTGAGTTCAGCCAATAGAGAATCCCAGAAGGAGCTCTGCGGGTGGGACAAGAGAGAGATGAAGGCATTTGTTTCCCCACATTCTTCCCTGCAGAGTTGCTGCGGGCTGCCTTCTTCACTTGCCTGAAGGCGTCAGCTTCCCCTGCCAGGCAGCCCTTCCCTCAGTCTCATTCTCCTTCTGTCTCTCTCTCTTTCCAGGTAATCCCACCCTACTCCACTCTTTCAGGCTTGGGAGTGCAAACAGTTCCTCACTGTTACTAACCCTTTGGTGCTGTTCCGTATCACCCCTAATGGCTTCTCTATACCCTGCTCCTTCTTAATGACCAGCCCCTGGATCAAATGGTCCCAATTTGAAATATGCCATCTCTCTCCTGCAGGAATTCTCTCTATACATCCCTAAGAGGCAGTTATTGCTTGTTACATTTTACAGAAGACAAAACTGAGTCTCAAAAAACTTGCGTGGAGTTTATGACCTTGCATGAGATCATAAAGAAGTTACGGGCACAGCGGGGGTCTTTGGATCACCTGTGTGGTCAACTTTGCCTGACACCATCTAATCTACTGGCCACAGGTAGTGGCCCCAGCTTGGTTTTTCTCAAATGCAAATGTGGCAATGCATATTTTGTTTGAAACTTCATTACTGTTCCTTCATCTGAATGATGACTTCTGACAACATTGGAATAGAGTCCCAGCCACCTCTTTGGCCACTGTCCACACACACACACACACACACACAATGTGTAATCTGCCCCCAATCAGGGTAACCTGTGCAGAAGCAGCTGTTTCTTCTGCAAGCCTCCAGGGATCAGCACTGGGATGTTTCATAAGCTTAAGGTTTGGACTTAATAGCTATGACAGTGAGTGAGCTCCCCATTCCTGGAGGTATGCAAACAAAACAGATCAAGCATCTTTCTGTCAGGGAGGCTGGAGAGAAGATTCATACAAGAGGTGCTGGTGGAGGGGGAATGAGATGATTCTGAACTGCTCATCATCAGGTCATGACGGGGAGAGAATATTGAAAATGCAGGTTCTGGGGTCATACCCTTAAAGAGTCTTATTCCACAGGTAGGTGTGAAGTTCGGACACCTGCATCTTTATATGAAAATGCCCCCAAAGTATTAACTGTAGATTTTCCATAACATCTGAGGTCCCTCCTAGCTCAGTATTCAGCCAACCCCAAGTCCATTCCTTCAGGGTGAAGGTTGTCATGTCAGTCACAGAGCCAGGCGACACACACTCTGCCCAGTTAGCTGAACTGGGGTAGACGGGGCAACAAGGCAGAGTCCTGGGTTCTAGTCCCACTTGGGACACCAAGCCTTGCCCCAGGACCAAGGGGGGAAGACATGGGCACAGGTGGGGGCCACCAGGGCTGATCTTCTGTTGTTTTGAACAGTGTAACAGGAAGATTTAAGTTCAAATCCACACTCCAGAGCTGTGTGACCCGGAGGTAAGTTATTTCAATATCCAACTCTCTCCTCCCCTGTAAAGTTGGTAAAATAGTACGCAGGCCTACCATTCCTCATCCACATCTTTTAGGGCCAGGTCTTTTTCAGATTTCAGAGAGGTCTCACCACCAGCAGCTGGGGCAGTGCCAGTCTTTCTGCAACAGATTGTGCCGGCTCCCAGTCCAAGGGTTCACAAAGATTCCAGAGTACCTCTTGTCAGGTGAAGTCAGGGTTTGCCGCCAAATGCATTCCCAAAATACTTGAAGTTTTCAGAGCTTTTTGGATTATAGAATTGAGAATGATGGATTGAATCTACCTAAGAAAGTTTCTTGTGAGGATTAAAATAATCCTGTATATGAAGTGCTGGGCGTATGGCAACTACTCGATAAACGTTAGCTGATTATTATCATCATTAGCAGTGGTGCTTCAAGTAGTCAAATGCTTAGTACAAATGCTTTATGTATAGTAAATGCTGGTTAAATTAAGTTTTCTGTAATTATTATTACAAGTTTCCACCAGTGCCCAATTTTGCATGCTCCCCATTGCTTCTTCAACGACTAATAATAAAGGCAGAAGAGCTGCTGGTCCCAGAGATGTGAGTGTCGAAGGAGCAGCGCCTGTGGTCTGGGGGATCTTTCTGCTCTCTGCCGAGCTCACTTCCTCCAATCGCATGCTAGACCTAGCTAGTCCCCGCCCATTCCCCATTCAGTTCAGTGAGGTCCTTCTGTTTGGTAAACTGGATATTAAAAACAAATGTACCTAATTAGAAATAAAATGTTCCCAACCAGCTCGAAATAAAATAAAATGTAATTACTAATGATATTTAAATGTTGTAGATATTTTATTTTTTTAAAATTCCCTTAATTTAAAATGAAGCATGACTTTAATTTAGTCGAGAATACATTAAGCGTAGAGGAAAGTGGTCTGGCTTTTGCCGAAGGTCTTCTTCTACTGCCTAAGAAGGAAGATGAGGGTTTCCTGAAGCATCCTTGGCTAGGGAAATTGGGATGAAGGTTTTTTTGTGTGTTTGTGTGTGTGTGTGGGGTGGGGGGGCGGGTTGGGGCAGGGGTGGTTAGTGTCTTCCACGGAGCCCTGAATTTTCTATAGGGATTGTAGACCTGTTCCTTGGATAGAAGACACAGTTCTTACAGAGATTTTTATAGATCAAGGTGTGTGTCTTGTCTCTGTCTTTAACACATGATTTGGGCAGCTCCCTGCACTTCTTCGTGCCTCAGTTCCTCCTATGAAAGGCAGCATGCTAACCTCTACTTGGGAAAAGTTTAATGAGGTTACATGATGTAAATAGCTCTGGACTATAGAGTATACTTTTGATAAGAGAGCAAATGTCACCAAAATGCTTGTGCTGTCACTTTCTCTGTAAACTTCATGAAGACTGGGACCATGTTGATTTTTTCTGTTTTTGTGTGTGTATCTCCATATTTAACCCAGTGCCAGGTGCTAGTAAATGCTCAATGATTGCATGAATAAATCTATAGATGAATGACTGACCATGTTTAGGGTGTTAAGGTTGGGAGAAGTAATACGGAACATCTAGTATATCCCAACTGAACATTGGAAGCCCATGTATATACAGTGATTGACTACTTTCTGCTTGTTTGCCTCCAGGGATGGGGAGCTCTCTACCACATGCCCACAGCCAATTCCAGCTTTGAAGAGTTCTGGCCCTGGAGAGTATTCATTACACTGGCCCCTTCTATGTTCTATACATTGTGCCTCTCTCTGTCCTCGGGGACCATAGGATGGAGCCCCAGGACAGTGATGAATAGACTTTTGTCATTTCATGAAATACTTGTTCATCAGCTGGGATGTCAGGGCCATATGATGGTGGTTGCGATGTGAGCCCTGGAGCAGGCTGTCACAATTCAAACCCGGGCCCTGCCAGTCACCAGTTATGTGACAGAGGAGAATCTCCAGGGAGGCTTTAGGCAGGCTACCTGGCCTCTCTGAGCCTCAGTCTCCTCATCTGTAACTGGGTGGTCAAGAGAGATTCAGTCTCTGCTCATGGTGTAACCAAATCCCCCACAGACTGTTGTAAGCGGGTGTCGTTGAGAGCTTTTGATGGTTAACTGAGGGAGCTGGTGCACAGCGGGGTGGCAACCGAAGAAGCTGGCCCCCACATCTTCACTTCCAGTAGAGCAGCCCTGCAAAGGTCTCCTCCTGCTATGGAGTGTTCCAGACCCCACACCCTCTCGGCCAACCTGCTCCTGACCTGCCCTGGGCCTGTGAGTTTCATGAGGGAGATGGTCCCTCCAAAGCCAGTTTGTCTGAGTTCATCACAGAATAAACAGGTTCCACTGAGTTAAATCACTGTTTTGTTTTGTTAGTGGGGAGGGGTCGCTCCTGCTAAGCCACACTCATCTCTCGCTTGGACTGTTGCAGTAGCTACCTCTGCCCTTGCCTGACTGCGGTTTGTTTTCCCCTCATCAGCCTGCTGGGTCTTCTTATAATGTGGATCTTGCACAAAACCCTTGGATGGTGAACATCCCAAGGCATTTCTCAGTCCTCCAGGGCCCTATGTGATCTGGAGACCTCATTGTCTTCACCTCCTAGCACCTTCCCTCTCTCCTCATGCCCACCCTACTCCAGTGCCACTGGCCTCCTGCTGTTCCTTGCTTGTGCCAAGCACCTCTGTCCTGCCTCAGGGCCTTTGCACCTGCTGTGCCTATAGCCTGGGATGCTCTTCTTGGTTCTGCACATGGTTTTCTCCTTCACTCAGGTCTTGGCTTAAATACCCCACTTCATGGAGCGTGTCCCTGAACTCCTCTTGACTAAAAACTGGCACATATTTGTCACTTCCTGCTTTTGTCTTGCTTGATTTGCCTCTCACAGTATATTATCTTTCTATTATTTCTTGTTTGTCCTCTCCCCATGACTGGCTGCAATTCTCATGACTCCTGAGTTGAAGTAGGTCACAGAGAGAGAATACTCTGTGCTTGGAACCACAGGCTCTATCTCTGGTGCATCCTTGCTCTGTGTCCCTGGAGAAGTTACCTGGCCTCTCTGAGCCTCAGTTTCCTCATCTGTGAAATATAGATGTGTAAATCTCTTAGGGCTGGATCAAGATTAGTCTTGATGCATGCCAAGTCCCTGGCACGAAGTAAGGATTCCATAGATGTGAGCCACTCTTCTCATCCCTTGCTTGAGTGGGTAGAGGTGACAGTCCAGCTAACTCAGGTTTGGCGTCTAACGAAACACTCACTCCCAGCAATGGGCTTCCCTTGTAGCCCACTGGCCTACTTGGGTCATAATAGGTGCTCAAAAAACATGTGTTGGAGGAATGATGGGACCATCTAAAAATACCAATGGATCTGCCCCATGCGAGGCTCTCAATACAACTTTGCTTTGAGGTACACAGGAGTCTCTGAGAACTAAAAAGGGGTAGCTTCAAGACGAAACAGTTTGGAATTGATTGCCGTGGTTGCATCCCTGACATCATCATTATTTTTCAGAGCAAATTTCCTTATTTTTTTCTTGAAGTTGACAAAGCGGGAATGGCCTTTCTTTACCGGATCATGGAAGTCCTGCGCTGTAATTGTGGAATGGTCAGTTAACATGACATGTGTAAAAAAGTAGAAACCAAAAATATCCTGCCACTTAGGGAAAGCCACCAGAATGCTTTGACATAAGCTTCTCTAAGTCCTGTTTTTATGCACTTAAAACAAAATAAACATTAGTGAGTTCACATTGTATACATACTTTTATAATATATACGAATTATTTTATTTTATCTTTACATTCCTTCCTAAGTATTTTCTCCTGTCATTAAAACACCTCCCCCCTAACTTATTTGGTCATCATGTTCCCATGAGGCTGCGTCGAAGTTCC